ATACTCAATACAATGTACAGACATCTGTCTTCATAATCATGTCTTTAAGGTTGTAAAAGTAATATCCCATAGATCTGTAAAAAAATATACTTTCATTGTTAACTCAGAGGGACCCGGAAAGAAGTATTCTTTTGTGTGGCATCGAGATTGATTTATTTGGGGGAGGGCGGGGGGTTAGTGTCAAAGGCAACTTTGTTTTCCAAAAAAATTGATTGAGAATTAATGAATTTTTATTTTTTGTAAAGGAGGGGTGGAAAAATTTCTAGTGGGGTGCAAGTGGCAAAATAGGTGTGGCAAATTTCTAGGGTTGGATTACCCCCCCCCCCCTGTATATCCGCCCATGCTTGAGCCTGTCTGGGGTCCATAGTGATGATACATCCTGCCTCATCAGGTCAGGCCCTATTTTATAACCAGCCCTGGTTTAGCAACCCTTGTACCACATCAAGTTATATGCATGAGGGAAAGTAGGTTGTTTGAACTATTATTTCCACTTGCAATTGTCACCTATATCCCATATGAATTTGTGGTTTCCAATTACTTTATATACTGTATGACTAGCATGGTATACCTGAAGCACTGCAACAGCTGCATGTGTACAAAACAGTATGCATGAAATTTAAAATTACAGATATGCATGCTATGTGCACTTGCAGTGAAATGTTTTTAATATGGACATATGCAACAGTAAGTCAGTAACCAGAGCCAAAATAAGAAAAAACTGATTAGAAGTAAATGGATTATATTTACAAATGTTCAAATTCTTCCTTGAAAATTCAAAAATAGTGCTTTAAAATTTTGCATGTACCTACTGTTACATATTAACGAGTTATGAACAGGTAGGCCATCATTCCAAAGACGAAAGCAGTCACTTTCAAATTTCAGTCAGTTTAATATTTATACAATAGCTTTAAATGCTCACTCCTGAGTCCGATACATGTGCATATTTACATCATAATAATTTAAATAACAGCCATTAAATACGATATTACACTTACCATGTTATCTTTCTTTATATTTGGCAATGTTTTGCCTCGTGACACAGCCAAAAATCCAGTAAAATTCTGTTATTTTTCTTCGCAAATTTTGAGAAACTTTTAAAACCAAGATGGCGGCGCAGCATTTTTTTCGCGAAGGCCTGGTCGCTAAGTTTTGAGCGCTTTTCGAAAAAAATACGCGACTTTGTAAAAAATCTCCTCTTAATTGACAAGTCAAAGAATACTCTAACTGGAGTACCTGCCAAATAATCCAACATAACATTTGCAATTATGATTTTAAATCTAAACAATATCAACGTGTTCAATGTTTTCCTTTAATATATCACTAATTTGTTGTTTGTTTTAGAATTGCATCAAAAAGGTGGTTGCAGGCATTCAGATCCTGGAATGCTGTGAAATGGCCCTGCTGACCTGTTGGGACATTCTATTGGGTGAACATCAAATGGTGTGTGGAGTGAAATGAAATTTCGATTCAATGTGACTGATAGAATTGGAATGGTGTAGATAATGATGATTTTAGTGAATTATGTTATGATGATGCATGGACTGTGACGATGATGTTGGTGAAGCTTGATTTATAACGTAGATATAAAGTGATGATACTGGTGATATATGAGTTGTAAAATGGTATGAAATATAAGTGATACATAAGTCATAACATTCAAGCTAAAATGAGACATGAATAGTAAAACTGTGACGTGACTCGATTGATTGTTTCTGTGAAGATCGCGCAGGCATAACCCGGGTGCGTTTATAATGTGAGATGGATTGTGATGATGCCAAGACCTGGGTGAATGCCAATGTATCGCCAACCAGGTCAAGTCCCATGTGTTTTGTGTTCAAAACTAAGTTTATGTTCTCATCAGGCTCCAAGCATAACCGGGAAAGCACGTTTCGACCCCGCTAGCTGGTCTTGGAACTACGTGCTCGCATATAATTAATATTCATTTCTGTTCCTTTAATGAATTATACATGTTTTGCGCGAAAAAATCTGTTGATTATTTCGTCTAGGAACAGTGTGAATGTCAGTTGAATTTGGTGTGTGTGCTTTGTGATGGGTGAAAATGATATGATTCTAATGCGTAATGTGTTGATTTTTGGTTTCGGAATGTAAAATTAAAATTGAAATTTACTTACTCGTATAACTGTCGTGAACCGTACTTTGCGTGTAGGCAAGGCGAAAAGGAATTATTAGGAGGAGAGGGGTTCTAATATTACGCCCGGGGTGGAGAGAAGGACGAATCCTAAAATGTAGGGGGTTTGACACTAGGGTGGGCTTAGTTAGGGTAAGGTTAGTCGATAGGGTAGGGTTTGGATTATAAGGGTTTAGAATAAGGTTTTGGGTTAAGATTCCGGTGGGGATTGGGTTAGGTTGGGATTACTGCTCAGAATAGTGGATTGAAAAGTGTTGAATAGGGAGTGGGCCTGGGAAGTTTCGAGTCGGTTGGGTGTATCGATGTTGTCTGAATGTGTCTGTGATTAAAGTGGAAACATCGGTTGAAAATATTATTGAAAGTTGTTTCAAATGGATAGCGAAGGATATATTGATGTTTTGATAGCTTCGTGGCAGACTTTGTGGCCGAAGATTTTTTGCCACAAAATTTGTCTTCCGTCTACTTCTCGTTCTTTGAAAGGTGAACGGTAGTTCGAAATGGATGTGACGGTGGTGAGTGTTAAGTAGTGTGAATGGTCCGTGGCACAGTTTGTGACAAAAAGTTTTCTGCCACGAAATTTGTCTGTCATTTTAATATTTCTCGGTATTTGTATTAAGGTGGTCATCTCCTCTTATTAACTGACTTTTGACCATTTTCTCAAAAAAATTTTTTGTTATTTTGTGCCGCTTAACTATTGTACTTCAAGACTGCATAGTTTATTTTTTAAAAAGAACATTATACAAGGCGAAAAAAGCTCTCAAAGTTACCTTGTTTGAAAATTTACCCCATAGCAACGCCATAGCAACGCATTTAGGGACAAAATTCGCTCAAAATTTCGTCCCAATATCACTTCAAACAAGTTCATTTATGTTTCTCCTTTTGGTGTAAGGAATTTAGAGTCTTCTGACCTAGCTGCATTGTGATTGGTTGCTTTGGGGAGCCATGGCAACCCGTTCTCTTTGTCTGTCTTGTGATCGATCGCATTTGCATTATCTGTGAAATTGTCTACAAAAAACCTTAGTTTTTTAACATTCCAAGTCGAAAAGTTGCTGTTCTAGTTTCCCAAAGATTTCTTTTGTTATTTGGGTTGTAATTTGAAGTCAATAAATGGGAAATCCGTCGAAACAAAAGCAGAAAGCGGGTTAGAAAGCCGCCTTCCACAATGGCAAAGAAATTCAAACATGGCGACGAACCTCGTGACAAAGAAGCTGGGCCTTCCGAAGCGAAAATCGGTGCCCAGACAGCAAATTTTGGCGTTAATTCTGAAAATATAGACACTATAAGGGAAGGAACAGTATTTATGGATTTATCAATCTTATTTGGTGTCTTTGATAAAATACTGAAATGTTCTGACTGTGGAGATGAAATTATGAAGTCACATGTTGACATGAGGAAAAAACATGGGTATTCTCATTATATTTCTTTGTAGTGTGTTGCATGCGACTGGAAGTATTGTTTTACACCCGTTTTCAAAATTACGCGACCAAAGACGAAAATGCTAGAGTTGACATGTCAGTTTTATGTCATTCGATCACGAAGTTCAAATTTTGAGTTTTGCGGTTCCTTGTCGATGTATATGCTTTGTATGCTTTATATAAACAGACTTACAATGATTTTCAAGATATTTTAGTGAGAATTATTGTAAAATTTAAGCACGACAAAATCATAACATCACCGTTATAGTCTAGCGCGCGTGTTTCATACTGACAGCTATATTCCAGGAAAAATTGTTATTTTTCAAACTTTAAAAGTCATTCACGGTACATATTTATGTTGTGATGGTTTGCATTGTGCTTTAGTTTGTATATCTAAGTTATCTGACTCATTTTTTGTATTAAATACGGTTTAAAATGTCTTTAGACAGTTTGTTTACGTTTGCTATTTTTAGCAGTTCTTGTGACATAAAACTGACATTTGAAGTAGGAGTATTTTTCAGGGAGGTCGCGTAATTTTGAAAACGGGTGTAATACTTCAAAGAAGCAAGGATAGTCCTATGAAATCAATGTCCGAGCAGTCTTGGCCTTTAGAGAAATTGGTAAAGGACACAGTGCCATGACAACTTTCAGCAAAGTTCTCAGCATGAAAAATTGGAAAATTGCTTGTACGAAAGTGTTCAATATATTATAATGCGTCCGACACGTTTGGTGCTTGCTGAAAGACAGGGAGATGTTATGCCTTGAAGGTACAAAGAAATATGTGTATTTGAATATATAAAGTATTGTATAGTATGCTATATTATATGTTATATGCTATATTATATATAAGTATTGTATGGTATGCTATATTATATGTTATACTATATATATATTTTACTATTTTATATGATATATTATGGATATTTTGCTTTGCAAATCATGTGTAATGATCCATCTTTATATATTCTCTAATTATATTGTGCTATTTATGTCCTGGGAAGTGATTTATCCAAAAAATACTGTCCAACACACATTTTCCCATTTTTGGCCCCGACACCTTGTTTGACAAATGTCGGAAACGTCCGGATAACTTTGAATTTTCACAAAATTTTTTTCGCAGTCATGACGGCAGAGGAAAAATATTATAAGTCATGAAATCACAGGCAAATGGGATCTTTTGTTCAGGAATGACGGATAAATATTTATAGGGGTGGGCTCATTGTGCGCACCCGGTACAAATAAGGTTAAATAAACGAGTGAACAAATTACAAACATACACAGGACTAATTAAGTCAGTAGCTATCATTGTGGTTAAAGGTGGCGTAAAGCGATGTTAGTGGCGGCTTTATTCAGATTTAATCAGTTTGATTAAATTTGGTAAATGTACCTCAATTCTCCTAGCAGTTAGAATTTACAAGTTCTGCCTAGATCATAAAATGGAACTCGAAATTGAGTGTACGGACAAACAAAAAGCAGATTATATAAGTAAACTTATCGACATTGACGACTGGCAGATTACGGATAAGTGTTTCGATCTAGTGGAGGAAGCATGGGGCCCTCACACGATCGATTGTTTTGCTAATTATTACAACACAAAAACCCGGAGGTTTTTCTCATGGCACTCATGGAATCCAGATTGTACGGGAGTGGACTTTTTTGTCCAAAGTATAACAGGAGAGAATTGTCTTGTAGTTCCACCTATTTGCCTTATAGCCAGAGCTTTACACTATTTACAAAAACATAAAGCGGAAGCGGCAGTAATTGTCCCGTTTTGGCCTTCGTCGTATTTCTGGCCGGTTATATTGAGACACATGGCTAGTTTCATAGTTGAGTATAAAGTGATTAATGGCAGGGAAGTGTTAACACACGGGAGAAATGCAAACTCCTTACTCGGCTCGGAACGGTTTTGTGGGAAATTGTTAGCCCTTAGAGTGAATTTTTCCTGAATATAAAGGCGGCGCTGGCCGATGTAACCGGTTTCTTCCAAAGGCGCTGGCCCCGTTCTAAGTTAACAATAAACAGAGTTAATGGCACTGGCCTGGTTATAGCAATGATATATCTAAATACTAAAAGGCGCTGGCCTGTACATGGACCGCAACGTAACGTTGTTTTGAGACGCTGGTCCCTGTAATAATGCTCCAATATAATGCAATGGTTCCGATCTGATTAAAGAAGATGTGTACTTGATATACTTTGGAATTTCCAATATTAATTATATTCTGTTTTTTTATTTCGTTTGTCTTAGATGTTAAGCGAGTGTGCAGTGTGGAAAAGTGTTCTTAGCCTTGTGAAACCTGACACTAAGGTTTTCATAAATTTTCTGCTAAAATCAAGGGCGAATACTACCTCTAAAAAGTACCTAGAAGAAATTCGAAAGTTTCTCAAGTGGAATGTAATAGCCTTTGGTAAGGTAATTATGCCAATACCCGTATCAACGGCGGCTGTTTACCTGTATAAAAGGCATGATGAATAAAAATCGTATGCGAACGTTGTTGCTGCTCACGCAGCGTTGAAGTGGTTCCATACATTCGCACCGTTTCAGATCGAAAATCCTTTAGACACCCCAGTTTGACGGAATATCCCACAAACTGCTAAAAGAATGAAGCTACAACCTATGAATAAGAAAGCTCCAATAACAGCCGAGATAATACAAAAGATTGTCCAAAAACACGCGCATCCACACGCAGATGTAAAAGGCCTGAGAATAGCATGTTCATGTAGTCTTGGGTTTAGTGGATTTTTTCAGTACAGCGAATTGGCGAACATATCGGCAAGTCATATTCATTATGAACATGATCATGTACGCATACTTATACCGTATGCAAAAAATGACATATACAGGGAAGGAAACTACGTATATATAAAGAAATTAGGCGACGAGTATTGCCCAATGGATGTTTTACGACCTTACACCGAAGTGACGAACCGGCGCATATTCTGAACCGAGTTTACCAATTTTTAGACCTTTGAGATTTTTTAGGTCTTCTAATCTGTTCAAATTATATTGAACAAGACTTTCATACACAAGATGCCGAGAAACATTAAAAAATGTCTACAAGAACTTGGATATGATGAAAAGAAATATGGATTACACAGTTTGAGATCAGGTGGAGCTACAGTCCGAAATCAGAACTCAAAATCAGAACTTAACCACGGCGCCAAGGCTTCAAAGGAAGTGATCATATTTCGGTGACAGTTTTAAGCTCCTCCTTCTTAACTATATAAATATCAGTATTTGTAACATTACCCTAATCTGTTCTGACGATGACTAAAATATAGTCGAAACGTAGATTCATTAAAGTCCCGTTTACACTACGCCCAATTTCTGGTACGGCACGGATAAAATTGGTACCCGTACCATTTTTTTGGTTCTTGGAATACATATATTTTGAGCCCAGTTTACACTACGCTTGATTTTTGGTGCCCTACCACTTTTTGGTCCCTGGACTACCTAAATATGTAGACCAAGAACCAAAAAAGTGCATGGTACGGGTACCAATTTTATCCGTCCCGTACCAAAAACTGAGCGTAGTGTCAATGGACTTAAAGCTACAAAATGTATTCGGAGTTACTGTTTTGTTTTTATTTTATGATGATTGGTCGCGCTATCTGTCAGATTTGGCCCAGGCTTGCCAAGCAAAGTGACGTCATGAATTTTGCGAGCTCATTACTTCCGCCGCTAGAGGCGATGGTATCTGAACACAGTGACGTCATATATTTTGCATATTAATTAGTTCCGCCGCTAGAGTGCTAGATGAGCAAAGTGACGTCATTGGTGGCATCCTTTTTGGCGTCTACTGGAACAGCAGTCGCCATATGCTGTCGACAAGAGGTTTAGAACGTTATATCGTTATATAGAGTGGACGGTTCACTTCTCCTTCGAACAGGCCCTTTGGTTAGGTTAAAAACATCGACGAAAGTTTCCGAACTGTTTACGATAAATAGTTTTATGAATGCCGTCCGGCCTTGAGATTTCCGACGTTATTATAAAGAACTCCGCGAGTATTTGCAGTAGAAATACGAAAATATCACCAAAAAAATCTGCTTGAAAGATACTACATACTCGAGCAATGTAAAATAGCCATAAAATATAAACTAGCTATACTCGAACAATGTAAACTAGCTATGCCATACCTATATATGAATACAATACACTCTAACCTGAGTATCTGGCTTTATTTTATTTACTTTATTTCAAATCAGTAGAACGCGAAATGAGGGCGCACGAGAAAAATGAAGCCTGACACACTTATTATTAAAATACACTTCCGCCCCCTTCTGCGGCACACGTCATTGATGAATAAATATCCAATCAAAATCACTTCCGTTTTCAGTTAACAATATGTTTATAATTGAAATCTATACATAATATTTCATTAATCAGAAATACTTCTTACCATGTCTGAATTGTGTGCACTTCGTCTGCTACCAATACCTCTGTTTCGTTCAGGTAGCCGTACTTTAAGTTCTTAACCCACTTATCGGATAACCACTGCTCAGCACTTCCGAAAACGACCTCGAATTCGCAAAGCATTGTATCGTCACTAGCCTTAACATCCTCGAGCGAAGCAGATTTGATTCCCCTAGCTACTTGCTGCTTACGAATCTGCTCGAGTGGACTGACCACGATAACTGTAACTGTCTTTCTATCCCCTATATGGTTGTATCGCAATTCGGATATAACCTTTAGGAGTATTTGGTAGATGATACTCTTTCCGTATCCTGTTGGAAGAACTGCAAGAACGTCCATTTTGTCCAAAACTATGCTCCGAATACATACTTCTTGCTCTTCTTTTAATTTAATGTTTGGAAAAAACTTAAGTGCCGCTTCTAAGGCAACTTTAAAATGGCCGTGTGCCATAAAAATACTTCGCCAATGCCTGAATTAACTCAAGCGTCAAGATTACGGTATTTACAGAATCTTGATGATCATTTTCGGTGACGTAATATTTTGAGTGATCTTATCCAATCAACGCTCCGTCTAGAATCTGGACTGAATAACCAGGCAAAATGCCGCTTTTGTGTCAGGCCGTACTTTTCTCCCCTTCGCTTGCGATCAGGCGTGCCTGTGCCCTAACAAGTACGGCCTGATACTCAGGTTAAATACACTCGAACAATGTAAACAATGTACGACAATGTATCACTAAGCCATACCTTTCGCCGAATGTAAATTTGGCCCCTTTCAACCTATCATTTTCGTAATATTCTTGTTCGGATGACTATCCAAGACACTATTTAGAGTGTTATTTTCAAGTTTTTATCGACAGATTTGCAACTTTTATTTCGGTATTTCAGAGTATCTAAATTTTACACGAGATCTAGAGCTTCGACCGGAAATACAGCTTGACCACCTTGACATATTGAAACAATGCGATGTTTACATCCTGGCACTCGGGAAACATCCGAGATCGATTCTAAAGGTCATATTACCTTTTCATGTAGTGTGATTTGCACGTGAATCAGGGCTGCGGTGCTTATTATTGGCCAATTTTAGCGCGTGAAAGGCGCGTGCGAGTAACAACCCGATATTCTGAAAAATTCAAAATAAATATTTCTAGTCCGCACTTGAATACAAGGAGTATTTCTACGATTTTATACTAATATATTTAGCGTTTTTGTTGTGATACATTAAATGATAGATTGCGCATGCGCAACCGATTAAAGCGTAAAAAGTGCGCATGTGGAACAAGCTTTTACATCGCACAAGCAAAGAAGCAAATGTTTTAGCTTAAATTTGCTGATTGCAAGTAGGGCATGTTTGTCCATTTTTAAATGGGAGCGCAACTATGCTATTACAAACTAATAGCATGGCTTTTCGGGAGATTAGTGATTAAATGACCCCATACCCTCGGCTGATTTGCGGAATTCCCTCGGGCTTCGCCGTCGAGGATTCCGCAAACCAGCCTTGGGTTACTGGGCCATTTAATCACTAATCTCCCTGAAGACATGCTATTACTTATAAAAAATACTTTGCTTTCCAACTCTGGGAATTCAAACGCTAAATTCCGAATTTTGTGAAAATCTTTGGCGATAAGCACATAATTGTAATCTTGACCATGCAATGAACTTCGAAGTTTGGAAGACTTCATAACATTCCCAAATGCAGTTTTAAATCCTCCTTTCATTGAAGTCATCAAAACCACAAGACGTAAATTATCCTCAATGCTCCAGTCTTCAAGAATTTAGGCTAAACAAGCATTCACACGATACACCCGTTACTACTTCGTTATAAGCTTTCCTGGGAAGCACGCTCGTGACAGTCCTTTTCCACATATCACGCATCGACGAGTGCTACATCAAGTGCGCGATGCATGCAATGCTCTTGCAAGGCAGACCAAACCAGTTTATTAATAAAGAATTAAAGTACACGATGAAATTGAGAGTCAGACAAAAAGTTGAGAATTTTTCGCCACTCACGTAACGCGAAAAATTGGGATGTATTTAAGCAACTTAGGAATTCTATAAAGACATCTCTAAGAGCAGCAGAGTCCAACTTTGTCCAGAATCAAATTGGGGAATATAAAGGTAATTCAAAATCTATGTGGGACACAACTTTGATCAGTCAACACAAGCTACAATCATCGATACATTAATCGTGAGTAATATTAGCTATTGTTCAACGGCATGGTCTAATACGTCAGGCAGCAATATAAAAAAGATTCAATTAATCCAAAATTGCGCAGCCCGATTAATCACAGGGTGCCTAAGTATGATCATATATCTCCGATATTAAACGCGTTATATGGTGTTTGTCAATCAAAGAACATGTTTTGTACAGAGATGCGTTATTAACATTTAAATGCATAAATGACAAAGCTCTACAGGGGCGGATTTAGACCGTTGCAACTGTAGCATATGCTACGGTCAGATTTTCCATAGGCCAGTTCTAACATGGATCATAAAATCAATCTAAAATATAATTTAGCAATATTTTGTTTTACTTTCCTTGTTTATATTTCAAGGTTTTATTTTATTTAGTTTTATATGTTCTAAAACATTTTATTTTGACAAATTGATGACATTTATAATACGTAACGTTAATTGTTTTAAGAATTCCCGCCCGAAAATACGGTTGTAATTGCCCGTTTGCGGGTCATTACGCAATGGACTATAGCTTAGAAAATATCATCCTTCCGAAATACACCGTAGCGTGTTGCCCATATATGATCAATTTTCGCTACGGTCAGATTCATTAAGGTCGAATCTGACCGTAGCGAAAATTGGCATATACGGCATTCTGATTGGTTTGCTACGGTCAAACGTAGCAAACCAATCGGAATGGGGCAAATGCTATAGTTTGCTACGGTGGCATGAAATTGGCTACTGCTCCAGAACGATGGAATATCTGATATTTGTGTTTGGCTCATCAACAACATGCTATTGGGAACCCACAGTACGGTTGTGCGCATTTCGAAATGAAAGCCGTCGTAAAGCTAAAGGATTAATTTATATGCGTCGAGGTAGAAATAAAATCAGATAGTAAAACGAATCATTTCCAGTCAGGTAAGCCTTATGAATAATAAGAGATGCACATTATATTTTAATTTGAGTTTTACTGTATAGTGTTCGCTATGAACTTCGCTTTATTAAAGTGTTTGTGCGCGTATGTACAGTAATACGACCTGCATGTATTGGAATTAATACGCGAATTATGATACGCGCGTATATATATCGTGTTTTATAGCGCGCTAATATTTGTTTGTAATGCGTATATATTCATAAGATAGTTAAGATACGCGTATTCATATCATACGCGCGTTCATATATGATATGCGTATTCTTATGATACACGCGTTCGTAGATGATACGCGCATTTCGGTATTCAATTGATAATGATATGCGTATGATACGAGTATCATACCGATATCGTATGTTAAAATATACGCGAGCAATAGTTTACATTTTGAGATCATTTTGGCTTATTTTTGCTTGAGAAATGAATACAATGAGGACAAATTTAATGGTCACATGCAGTGCTCAGAACGCAGGAAATGGCATTTCCGGGCTTCAAATTTCAAAAATTTTCCAGGGGGGCATGCCCCCGGACCCCCCTAGGTATGCGAGGTCTTGGAAAATGCTACGGTCAGATTTTTGGCTGGATCCGCCCCTGCTCTACACTATTTATGTGATAATTTTGAACAACGAAACAGAATTCATAATCGAGATACTGTACTAGAAGAAATGGAGACCTGGATATTCCAAAATTTAGGACATCGATCGGTCAAAGATCGTTCAAATACCGAGGGACTAAGATATGGAATGGTCTAGATACAGAGCTGAAATCAATTAGTGATTTGAACAATTTTAAGACAAAACTTAAGACAATTCGTATTGAGAAGCGATGTCTTTTTTTTTAACTATTTTAACTCATGAGCTATAATAAATAGTAGGCCTATCATTTTAGTTCACGTAATAACTTTGATACTTTGTTGTAAATATAGTCGATAATTCATAATTTATTATTAATAATATTTATGTAAATTGTCATTGAAAAGCCCGTTTTAGGGAATATCAATTAATAAATTCAAGTTCAACTTTTTATATAAGCACCCTAGCTGGTATAAAGGTTTCAATTTTCGCGCGGTTGTTCACACTGTTAAAGTCTGCGAAAACATCTGGTTTGTTGATGGATTTCGGTGGCATTATTGTCATCAGTTGCCATGTAACGCAGGTGATTATCAGCATCTCGAGCTTTATTGAGAAAACAAAAAGAACGCAAGAACAGCCCAATTGCTTTGCGGGTCATGCAATAATGTTCGACTGCATGTAAAATCTCACACACGATCGGAATTTCGGTGGTCGCGGGTTTGGTTCATGCTTGAGATCCTTCGCAGCTGCTCTACGCTTAGGTCTGAAAATTTCGATCTGCAAAAACCATCAACCTCTTGTTTCTATATTATTTATGCCTAACAAAGGCTTGTCCAAACTCACATTTTCATCCGGAATGTTATTCATTTGCTATTTTTTCTTCAACTGTGAACCCATTTTATAATAAAGTTAATGGAACTTATATACACTATAATACTGTTTAGAACTTATATACTAGCTATATACTATATAATATATACTATTTGTTTAAACGTGCAATATTTATATATATATATATATATATATATATATATATATTTATTCAATATTTATTGTAAGTGCATGCAAGCAATATCCGAATTGTGGCCATCTGTGCACTTAAGTGTTTATCATTCACTCTGTTGCCTCCGTCGTTAGATGTCTAATATATTCTTTATGTTCCACAAGAAAGTTAATCATGATTTCGAACAATATTCTTCTGTTTTCAATTGTATTTAAATTTATCGCAATGGTGATTGGAGTTTTTGGAAATATCACAGTTATAATTTATACAATTTTCGTAAGCAAAGAAAAGACAGCGGCGTCATACTTGGTTGGAAATTTGGCAGTGGCAGATCTTCTCGTGTGTTTAACATTTTATCCAATATGGATCATTGAATTTATACAGACAATATTAGACATTGATGGTTATCAGGTTCTGTTTTGTAAGTTAGGACGTTCCACGATCTGGGCATTTGCGCTTGCTTCTACCCTAACTCTTGTCGCCATTACTGTTGATCGATATTTATATATTGTAAAACCTCTAAAATATCCAATGATTGTGACTCGTCGCCGAGTTATTTTAACTATTTCTGGAATCTGGTTAATTGCTTGTTGTCTACTCATTGTATTGCAATTTCACTACACAGATAGGTCACTAAGAAGCTATTGCTACGTACATAA